GGTGATGCTCATACTGTATCTCCTAGGTTACGCCTGCCCTCAGAACGGCAACAGGCGGGGAGTCAGCGCACGTCTCCGGAAGCTCTTCCTGTGCTCTGCTGCCAAAAAGCCGTCTGCCAGTATCCAAAGCAAGTTCTCCCTGGAAACACGCTCAAAAGCTCACATCTCCTCTCACCGCACTGTTCTGATGCCAAGTCCCTTTATGAGTCTCTGTCTGTATCTCTCCATAGCCTCATTTCCATCTATCTATCCCTGTTCTGATTTTCTCTCACTCTCTTGCTCTCTGTTTTTTCCCCTGATAGAAGGTCCAGGACATGTCCATACTCGGTGTACCTGCTGCACTGACTCTCCAGTTTATATTATACAGTTTGGGTTCGGATCTTATCGCTCCAGACTGCTGATTTCCTCTGTTCCACTTCTCAGTGGTGTCTGTGTTTTTAAACAGGCTGGATATCAGTGGACTTGGTGACGAAGTGATATTATTCATTTTGAAGCCTTTCTCTTATCACATTTCATTGATTTTATCAAGTAACAAATTCTTAACATCAGTACTGATGTTGACACTAGGACAAGATGTTGTTTGGAGTAGAATAGTAAACAGTTAGCAGAGTCTGGCATTGCTTTATAAGAAGCTTTTAAATGAATTATGGCCCATCCTAGCATTCTGCAGCCTTTCATGTCTGAATTAATTTGACTTATCTATGCTATTTTAAAATAAAAATGTATGCTCTCCCCACGACGCATTCTTTCATAGCAACTGTTGCTAGGTTGGACAAACTTTATAGAACGTTGGCAAATGTCTTCCAAACAAAATTGTATTAGAGCTGCTACGTTGAGTTTTCAGTTTAAAATGCTATACTATTTTAAATTGGACGTTGTTGTGCAGTGTAACTAAAATAGAATTTCTGAAAAAAAAACTTTTAATTTTTTCAGTGCATGAATGAAAGAATTAAGTAAAAACTAAAGTAAAACTAACTTGTCAGAAAATAAAAAACTAGGCTAAACTTACTCTTATATTTTTATTTTTATGCTTCTTATTCACTTAGGACTAGAACTAAAACTGAGCTAAAATCCAAAACCAGAATGAAAAACTAAATGAAAACTAATTAATTAATGAACTAATGAATTTCAAATCTATAATAACCCTGGTCTGGAAAGGGTTACAAAGCCATTTCTCCTGCAAACCACAGTGAGAGCCATTACCTACAAATGGTGAAAACATGGAACAATGCTTAATCTTCCCAGAAGTGACTGGCTGCTACGCAAGAACACATTGTGGGCGGAACATGGATAGGTTAATTATTAAAATTTTGGCTCCATAATTATGGTCTGTTGCTGTGCTATAATGACATATTAACCAGGTCTAATTGCTTTGTTCCTTCACACCATGATGAAAAGGTAGTTCATAAATGGGTAAAGCCTCTGTTTTGATGTTTCTGATTGGTCCGTTCTGCCTGTCTGCCCCAGCATATGATGGGATACATCATGAGGTCACATATGAGCCATTAGTTTTCCTCGCATCAAGAGTTTCAGTAATCTCCTTGACACACAGTGGCCCACGTCCTCCTTCTCAGGTTATCACACAACAGTCAGACTGTTTTATACCAAAATGCAGCAATTCAGTGGTCAGCACTCATTTTCTTGGCCAGTGGGTCTCTTTTCCTGTCCTCTCTAGTGAAATATTTATATTACTTTGTTTGTGTATGTTAAGCTGAAAAGCTAACTTAGTGCAAAGTTTAGCTTTAGATAAAGTAAAATAATATACAGATAAAGTAAAATATTTTCAAGGACTTTACAAATGGAGAGAATTACATATTTGAATTTGAGTCAACAAGATGATGATACTTCTGTTTAGGCCAAGATTCTGTACAGTTCAGTTTGTTCAACACAATTACTAAAAATCATGCATTTAAACTGCATTAGTAGAATAAACCAGAGGCAGTTGAAAACAAAACACAAAGCTGTGCTTTCACCACATTTTGAGTCAATCTGATTGAATCGGTAGTGTTTAGATCAATGCTTGCAGTACTCTGGTGTCTTGTTACAGCCCCACACCAAATAGTACGGCATATTGTCTTCCTGTCAACAGAAGCAGAGATAGATTTTATTTCACAATTTATTTAAGCTGCATTGGCAGCACCAGTAGAGCCCTGTTTCTGTATCTGTCACTTCACTTGAAGAGAAAATGTTACTGGAGAAGTTTAGAACATTTGAACTGGCATCCAAACTATAGCAATAACCCTCAAGTGTGCATCACAGTGATTTCACCACAATTAGGTGGTGCTGTTATGAATCACTAGCCATGATTATTAATACCATTTGTAATAAACAATTTTTCTGCCAAGTGATGTAGTTTAACAGTAGTGTGGGGTTACCAAAATTAATTCACCCTTCTTAAAATTCAGCAAAGACTGGCTTTTTTGGTAGCTGGTTTCAGATGGTCTAAGCTGGTCTTTGATGGTAATTAGTTAAATTCTTGCTATTCTAAAAGTGGTCAAGGTGGCTGACCAGCTGGACATCCAGCTGGACTTGGTGAAAACATGCCAAGCTTTCATACCACCACCCCCCACTACAAACCAGAGAATGAACAGCACAATGTACATAATAGTGTTAATACAGAATAATGATAGATGATAGGACTAATAGAGAATAAAACAAGTTCAATTCAGTTTAAGTAATTTAAACCATTAACTGTACTAGTATTTGTTTGTAGTTGTGTCCACAGTACCGTGCAAAAGAGACCACTTTTCATTTATTTAATTTCCACTCAAAATGGCTATTAAGTATATTAAAATACCCTTTTTGCATCAGAGAAAAAATATATATATTTAACAAAAACAAAAATAATACAATCAACAACTAAATATTCTATCTGATATAATATCTCACATTTCAGTATTTAGTGTGTCTGTCTTTTGCCTTTATTACAGCTTCCATTCTTTACAGGAGACCTGCTTTCAGTTTTTCAAGAAAGTTTCAAAGTTGGTTCTATTTTCTGCTTCTCACAATCCCAGTAATCCCAAACACATTGAGTGATGTTGAGGTCTGGACTCTGGGGTGGTCAATCCATTGTTCTGAGAAGACCAGATTTGCAGAAGTTCTTCTATTTTTTTGTCCATTTCCTTTTCTCAGTAGCGGCTTCTTCACAGCCACACATGCTGTTAGTGCTGTTAGTTGTCTTCTCACAGTGGAAGGATGGACAAAAACACCTGTGGATTTTTTTTTAGATCTGAAGCGTGGAAGAAGAGTGGAGCTTGATTTTCTCCTCTCTCTCAAAGAAGAAAACTTTAAATTAAACTTTAAATGAAAGTACTTTTTATGTGATGGTGACCGTTTTGGTGGTCTACTAGGTCATGCACAGTTGTTAGGTATCCAGTTTTCTCTATATTGTTTAGTCATATTTAAAATCCAGTTTTGTAAACTACTCATTTTTACTTTTTTTTTGGTTTGCGCTTCTTTGTACTTACTGTTTTGAGTGAAAATTAAAAGATAAAGGTGGTCACAGACATTTGCCCAAGCCATATATTTTTACAACAGTTTTGAATGTAGCTCAACCCATAACATTTTAAAACTGGAACTCTTTGCTGTATAATGAATTTTGTAAGTAAGGGATGATCTCCCTACTGGGATAGGTTTGCAGCAGCCCTGGACATTGTTAATCATCAGAAAAAAAACACTAATGCGACTCTTTGAGTGATCATCCCGGTGCTGCTGCTGTACAGAGTGTATCCTTGACAGACCTCACTTGTGTGGAGATATTTACTATGGTTCAGTGCCCCAGCAGACACCAAAAGCCCTGGATTATCAGCTCCAACAGGAGCTGAAGAGTGCTGGCTCCTTTGCTCTGAACTCATTTTAGCTTTTATCAGGTGTCTAATGGGATGTGGAGACTGTGAGGCACAGCGGATGTGGAGGAGAGATGATGTATTTGGAACACTGAGCAAAAAAAGATGCTGTTCTGTTTACACGCATCACTGTGCTTTATGTCTACGTAATAGTTGCTCACAAATTTAGCCAACGTCTTTGATGTTAATCAAAACTCCTGGCGTTCATATGACTTTGTAAAGTCATAAAACTGTTTTTATAATCATGAAGGATTTGAAGCATTTCTAATCTTGCACCAAGATGCATGCTGTAATAAAAGCACTACTGACTGACTGTGAGCTGCCTTTGTGTACCAGTGTAACTGAGCCCCCAGTACTTAGATCGGTTAGACAGATTTGTACATGGAGTGTCCAGATTGATGAATGTCAAAAATATGAAATACTGATTGTTTAAAATTCTTTATCTGGGTAATAACTGTAATCACTGTGTTTTTGCTAAATGCTTAAATACCATATATCATTAGAATAAGTAAAAGCTTTAAAGCAGTAATAAATAAGAATGTCTCGAAGAAATGTTTCCTCAAGTGCCTAAACTTTTGCACGGTACTGTGTGTCTGTGTATAGATGCATTACTTTCTCCGCTGTGTTTTGTTTGTGTATATGTGATGAATCTAGCATAATGTAGCATAATATCTTTACAAATGCAGTGCAAAATACGTAAAAATACTAGGGATTGGCATGATACTTTTCCTTCTTAATACTGATACAGAAACCTTAGGTATCAGTGGATATCAGCATTAATATTGTAAAAAAACTACAAATGAATATTTTAGTCAAATAAATGTTATTTTGTGCTACAAGCAATCCTTTGTTTCAGATTAGAGCTGTTACAGAATCGGCTCAAATTCATTTTTTCCTCAGATATCTGATCCAGTATAGGCCCAATACAGATGCTGGGTGTCAGATCTGTGCCTTTGCTAATACAGACCTATACATAGGTATTCTCATAGTCTCCAATGAGAATGAAATCCATCTACTTCTGTTATTTTTGTTAGTTGTATGAGGGACCACAAGGTTGTTGATGGATCCATCTGAGCTAATTCCTAGTTGATAAACAGTGATCCAGAGTTAAAGATTAATGTGATTTACTTGTGTGCATGTGGTTGTTTTCCACAGACAGTGTTGAGGATGAGCTGGAGCTGTCGGCAGTGCGTCACCGACCTGAGGGTCTGGAGCAGCTGGAGGCTCAGACGCGCTTCTCTCGCAAGGAGCTGCAGATCCTCTACCGCGGCTTCAAGAACGTGAGCTAGGACCTCCGTTTTTCGCTGTAGAAAGAACATAAATTGAGCTAGAACATTTTACAAAGGTTTGATTAACCGTGATCGCTATAAGATTTCACTAGCAAGAGTTTACATGGCCATGACCTAGTTAAATTAGACATGGTGATTATTGTAAATGCTTTTGTAAGTATTTTATATTATTTAACAGATACTTGTCTAAAGGGTCAGTGGTAGGTTAACGTAGCATGAGGAGTCTTGCCAAAGGCCAATATTATTATAGTAGTAGTGTTCCTACCTGGGCAGGGAATGAAACCTTTACTCTTCGTTTTGGAGCAGTAGTTTTATCCACTGTGCTAGCCATTTAAGTGAGCTGAAAGGAATGTAAAAGCCTAATCATAGTTTACTGTGCATGGCTTAGAATGTGCACAAGTTAAAAATTAGATTTTTTTATTATTATAATTATTTGCATATATTTTCTATAACTTCAATATAGGATTGATAGTTTTTCCATTAACGAGGGAGTAACATAGGCTATTAGAATCTTGCACTCCTGAAAACAAAATAAATTTAAGAACAAAGAGGTAAAGCTTTCAAAATATGCCTGGCTGGGGATTATGCCAAACACTGCTATCTGAAAATGATATCACACGTTTTCTTCTAATCAGGTCAGGAAAAGGTCTCCAGAGTGGCCCTGCAGCAGAGATGATGTCCTTTGTCACCTCTGGTGCACAATGGAATGAAACAACACCCAATTAACTCGACCTAAATTGTCAAGTGGCAAAGTTTGAGGTTGGCACATGGGCCCTGCATTATCTCACTGTTGAGAGATGAAGTAGGGGACCTTACCTTGAGACCATACTTGAAACAACAACTGCAAATAATGGCTATATATTAGCTTTCTGCAATACTTCAGAATAGAGAAAATCCATTTGAACTGCCCTCCAACTCGTAATTCCCATACTCTGTTTTACGCAAGAGCATCGAGCCAAAATTATACTTGAGTGAAAGTCAAAAAGTATCTACATTTAAACATTAATTTAAAAGTCAGGGCATCTTAAAAAGTAACCCAAATCTGTTTTGTCTTAACCCTTTTCAACAAACTCTGTGTACGTTGCGGGCAGTACTGGTCAGAACTGCGCTGAAAAAAAGTTTTTTAGCTGAAATTAGTAATTGGACAGCCTTAAAATTTTGATTTTGTTCAACTTCAAATAATAAGTTAACATGACACATTCTTGACTGGCAAGAAAAAATGATATTTAAAATAATTGTAAATTACATTTTAGATCCTAAGTGTATGTTGCAGCTTTTACGATTTTGGCCATTGCAAAATTATTTCATTTAGAACTCTGTTCACTCAAATATTTAATAGAAGACCACTAAATAAATGAGTATACTCAGATAACTGGAAGACAAGGCTGTTCTGTACTACATTGTCCTAACAAGTGCTAGCATACTGTGATCCTACTTTTTTATAACCTTATACAGTTGAGGTTATGTGAACGCTCTAAGGTGGGAATTCAGGCATTCCAAGTTGGAAAATAGAGTTCCCAGCTGCCATGAATGCAGCATAAGTTTTTAGCACTAGATTGAATTTTACTTCATTGAATCGTCAACAAAGTTAAAACGATTGAAGTGATTTTCTCTTTAGAGCATTCTAATATTTCCTGTACGTAGCCCTTAGGTTCAATTATGTAATTGTCATTGCCAGCTGTAGTTCAGTGACTTTCTGCTCTCCATTTTGTACAACAGCGTCTATGAAGTGCTAAAAGCCCCTCTCTTTTTAGTCAGGCAGTTCATCGGGCACCTGTCCAATTCACTCTAAGTGATCTCGTGGTCTTCAAAGGTTTGTAGATGGCTTTTTAGATGGAATGTGTTTCTCTCGCTTTCAACCTGAGCACAAAGACAGAAACTGGGTAATGTGCAGCTGGCACACTCTCTGCAGAGGGGCCGTATATAGTCTTGCTTTTAAAACCTCTATGACAGTTATAGTCTTAGGAATTGGCGCTCTGTCCTGGACATCTCAGTCTGGACTCAGATCAAAAGATACCACTTCTCACAACTGGTGAGAAGACAGGGTCACACTATGTTTTCCCTCAAAAATGGCATCCATGAGATCCATGAGATGTTTTTTTTGTGCAAATGCAACAATCCAAAATGGATTTCTCTAGAGAGTCTGGAATTTAGTGGCAAACTGGAACCTCTGAACCTTTGAGAAATGTAGAGTCACTGTATCCAGCAACATGACCTGACTCTTCAGAGTATGTGTTAAACACTAGACTAAACCCGGATCCACTGCTTTTAGTTCTGTGAGACTGCCTATGACTGCTATCTCTGTCCACACAAGAACACAAAAACGGTTTGAAAATTTATAATTTTCATTTATAACTGGATTGTGCAATGTTTTATGCGATCCCTGCTACATAACATGTACGTGACCATGCCATAAACATGTCATAGCAGGTGTCATGAGTTGTCGTGACCAATTTTGTTCAGTAATGTAACTGTCATGTTGCCATTGTCAGTAATTGTCATGACAGATGCCATAATGTTTGAAAATGTGCTGTGACACATTTCATAACAGATTATGTCGCATGCTGATCTTTGCTGTATACTCTGCTTAGCCATTATTGTATCTGTCATGACAAAATGAACTGTTACGGTAAAACTGTTATTACCGGACATAAACTGCCATGACCACTCATGACAGCATATGACATCTGCCATGACATGTCTATGGCAGAGTTATGTCAATGTCATGTAGCAGTTGTTACTAGAAATGCCTTGGTAAGGACATTGCAATTGTGTGTTGCTCGAGAAATGGAGTGCAAGGCAGCGTGCTGCAAATGCAACCACACAAGTTGTTTTAAAGTATTATGAAAATGAGAAATAACGAAAAGGGAAGGATTCATATGAGGACCGACATTGTAATACTGAAGTAAAGCTAAATTAAGTAAAGATAATCCAACCCGATATACTGATCACACAGAACAACCCAGTCATCAGCCATACAGGCAGATAAAAATCAACGCAGCAAAACAACATCAGTGCTACATCCTAAACCACGATTTTCAGCATTTTCAAAAAAATGCTTCCTGTCCACACAGGAAAAAAAACGTTTTAGAAGTATAAAAGGCATTTTCGTGTGGACAGGAGGCCAAAACACTTAGAAAAGAAAAGAAAAATTGCAAAAAAAGGCATGTTAACCACTGAATATTGGTAAACATTTATGGAGTTATATAAATTACTTCAAAATTGTTTTTCATCAACCTGATTGTAGACTCTTTATATGGAGAAACTAGGGCTGACGCACGTAATTTGTACTTTAGTATTGGTTTGCTACACTTGGTGTTCTATTTTACAAAAATCTTAGCTTAAATATAACATATGGAAAATAATAAAAAAATACATTTTAGCAGATTCAGTTTAATCAGTTATGGAGGTTTGACAAGTTTTAATGAATCCTTCCTAATATACAAGTACAGGAATAAGTATCCAAGTACCACTAGTTTGTCTCTGGAAAGGAAAACGCTAAAACTGGAGAGCTCAGAGCCTCAAACTTTGTTGTGGTGAGTTCTGCCGTCACTTGCGCTGCAGCTTCAAGGGTGGTACCCTTTGCATTTAGACGGGCCTGTAGTTCCAAAAAGCTCCTCAGTCCTCCACTCCACTGTCTGGAGCTTGGCTCTGACTGAGCTCAACTGAGCCTTTGTATCACCCTTACTGCTGCTTTCCATTATATAAAATGCTGAACTAGCCAAATAAAATAACTCAATAAAATAAATGAACTAAATCTGTAATGGTAAAAAATGAAATTATTATTCTAGTTACACTCGTAGCATGACTCGTAAAGTCTGGATTTGAAAAAGAGGGCTACAGTCACAGGTTTTATAGCAACATATGGGACATGAGTAGGCAGGCTTTATCCAGCACTACTAGTACATTGTTGCAGCCTGATAGATATATTGTGATAGGATGATGAATGAATATTCATATACTCATTCAGAAATGCCAACGAGTATTCAAAGCCTGTAAAATGTTTGGGTGAGCCCTAAGAGAAAGAAGAACTCTAACCAGACTCCACTAACAGTACTGTAAAGCACAGAGGTGGAAACATAAAAGTCTGGAGCTGTTTTTCTTAATGGGGTCATGAGCTCTGAAGTGTACAAAGGCACTATGGCATTTTGAATGAAACTGCTGAAACAATAACAATCTGACACGTGCCAGCCGCCTTTTGAGAGAATACTTTGCCAAATGGAAAATTACAGTCTTGGAAGAGTCTGTTTAAAATAAACGCCTCTTGTTTCCTAACACAATCAAATGAATACATTTAGTATGTACAAAAGTATTGTACAAATGTTCAACAGGGTCTTAGTTAACTGAGGCAAAAATACAGTTAAAGCAGTTCTAAACAGTGGTCTGCAATGGAACTGTAGTATTTTTATTTTATTTGCAGATATTCAGCTTCCGACTTTTGGCTTTTTGAGTTCTGGACAAGAATAAGTTCCCTTCATCCTTGATTATATCCATGCAGGCTGTAGTTGTGTTTATCCTCGTGGGCAGCTTCTCTTTGTTCAGCTGTCTGTTTTCAAACTTTCAAGGGTTTGTAAACGATACTTCTCTCTAAAGCATTGCATAATATCCCTTTTACCTAAAACCTGCCATGGTAGTTATTGCCTCTAGTGCTGCGGCCATATTAAAATTGTAGATGCCTTCAAACTTTGTTTGAAACAGCTTCATTTCAAAACACTACGCTGTTACTATGTAAGCTAATTATTGAATGATCATGGATGACTAGACAGAAAAATACTTTTAATTACACTCTGTTTATTTAGAAACTGTAATGAACCTTATGTTGCTCCTCCAGTCTAAAAGATGTTAATAGAACTCTTGACTGGTAGGCAGCTGAAGTACTTGATGGCATTGTGGGAAAAGCAGGATCTCTTTAGATGGTAATTACTCTGACTCTGTCTCATCCTGTGTGCACAAGAGCCAGAGGATGACAGCTACACAAAACATTCCCATTT